TATATATATATATATATATATATATATATATATATATAAACATGCAAAAAAAAACGAATTTAAAAATTAAAAAAAATTGAAAATACATTCAATTTCCCCAAAATCACAAGTTTGATTAAATTTTATCCCAAATTTTGGTTTTCAATTTAGTGGTCGGTCTGACTTTTCAATGACCCCAACTTTTTCAAAGATACATTTCTAAACATTTTACGGCATGCATAGACCATAAATTTAGTGACCGAAACCAAATACTTTTTTTTAATTCACAATCACGCATTGACATTTGAAATTTTGAAAATAAACTTTTGTCTCGAAATGCGTGAATTACACCCTCAAATACTAAAAATAACTCCAATCAACCCGAACTCGTGTGTGATGTGTAGGGACTCGTGTGGACAGTGCTTGTACTCTTTTAACATATGTGGATGATCAATGACCTAATTTTAAAAAAAAAATTGAAAAATGAAATTGAACAATTCCTAATCTGATGCAAAAAAGCAAAAGGAATTAAATTTAAAAGAATACAGTGGGTTGCCTCCCACCCATCGCTAGGTTATAGTCGATACGTATTGTGTCCTTCTCATGGTTTAAGATGAATGGTAGACTTTTCATTTGAGAAATCGCTGCTCCGATAGTGCTTCAAACCCTGACCATTGACCTTAAATGTCCCCTTACCGCCATGAGTGATCTCAACTGCCACATATGAAAATACTTGTGTAATAGTACAGGGACCAGACCATCTCAATCGCAACTTTCCTGGAAACAGCTTAAGCCTAAAGTTGTATAGTAACAAATTTTGCCCCACTATAAATTCATGCCTATGAATATGCATATCATGCCACTTCTTGGTACATTCTTTGTAAAGTCTTGAATTTTTGTAGGCCTCCATTCTGAGCTCATCCAGCTCATTAAGTTGTAATAAACGTTTTTCACCCGCAGCCTTCAAGTCCAAATTCAATTTCTTCGTTGTCCAATAAACATAGTGTTTTATCTCAAGAGGTAAGTGGCACACCTTCCCGAAAATCAGTCGATATGGTGACATCCCTATAGGAGTCTTGAATGCAGTCCTATAGGCCCACAAGGCGTCGTCCAGCTTTTTAGACCAATCTTTTTGTGAAGAGCTTACTGTGACTTCAAGTATTTGCTTTAATTGCCTATTGGACACTTCAACCTGTCCGCTAGTTTGAGGATGATATGCAATGACTACACGATGCTTAACGCAATATTTAGTCAACAACTGTTCAAATTGGCGACTGCAGAAATGTTTGCCCCCGTCATTGATTATAGCTCTCGGTGTGCTAAAGCGGGTGAAAATATTTTTCTTTAGAAAATCAATCACCACCTTCCCGTAGTTGGTAGGCAATGCAACGGCTTCTACCCACTTCGATACATAATCCACAGCTACTAATATGTACTCATTAGAGAATGATGGAGGAAATGACCCCATGAAGTCGATCTCCCAGACGTCGAATAATTCCACCTCCAAGATACTATTCAACGATATTTCACTTCTCTTGGATATATTACCAGTGCGTTGACATCGATCACATCTTTTCATGAATTCAAAGGCATCCTTAAACAACGTAGGCCAGTAAAAACCTGACTCAAGGATCTTCGTCGCTATTTTTGAAGCACCAAAATGTCCTGCGTATGTAGATGAATGACAATATTCTAGTATTAAGGACACTTCCTCCTCAGGTATGCAACGTCGAACGATTTGATTAGCTTCTCGCTGTATAGAATGGGATCCTCCCAAAAATAAATTTCAACTCCGCGAAAAATTTCTTCTTCTGGTGACTTGAGTAATCTGACGGAATGATAGACCTGGCTAAATAGTTAACTATGTCAGCATACCAGGGTGCTTCCTCATACCAAAGATCTATTCATCTGGGAAGATTTCATTGATTTCCATAGTCTTTGTCTGCTCTGTGGTCTCGAGTCGAGACAATTGGTCTGCTACCACATTTTCACTGCCCTTCTTATCCCTGATTTTCAGATCAAACTCTTGCAATAGCAGTATCCAACGAATGAGACGTGGCTTGGCATCCTTCTTTTCCATTAAGTACTTGATGACAACGTGATCTGTATAAACGATGACCTTTAACCCCAAAAGATATGATCGAAATTTATCAAAGGCGTAGACTGCAACAAGGAGCTCTTTCTCTGTAGTGGCATAGTTTAATTGAGCGTCGTTCAAGGTCTTACTTGCATAGTAGATTACGTGAATTATCTTATCTTTTCGTTGTCCCAATACGGCCCCAACAGCAAAATCACTCGCATCGCACATTAATTCAAATGGTAGGTTCCAATCCGGTGTAATGATCACGGGTGCTGAAATCAACTTCTCTTTCAATGTATTAAAAGCCATCAAACATTCATCTGTGAACTCAAATGTGGATTCCTTCATCAACAAACAGCATAGTAATTTAGTAATTTTTGAGAAATCTTTTTATAAACCTTCTGTAGAACCCGGCATGCCCAAGGAAGTTACGAACACCTTTCACTGATGTTGGTGGCGGTAATTTCTTGATCACCTAAATCTTTGCTCTATCCACCTCAATACCCTTTGCTGATATTCTGTGTCCTAACATGATGCCTTCCTGTACCATAAAGTGACATTTCTCCCAATTTAATATCAAGTTGGTCTCTGTACACCACTGTAACACAAGACTCAAATGCTCCAAACACTCATCAAACGAAGACCCAAACACTGAGAAGTCGTCCATGAATACCTCGATGAATTTCTCAATCATATTAGAGAAGATAGCCATCATGTAACGCTGAAAGGTGGCAGGAGCGTTGCACAAACCAAAGGGTATCCTACGGTATGCAAAGGTACCGTAGGGTCATGTGAAAGTTGTCTTCTCCTAGTCGTCAGTTGCTACTGGAATCTGATTATACCCAGAATACCCATCCAGAAAACAGTAATGTGAGTGCCCTACTAGTCTCTCCAACATTTGATCAATGAACAGTAATGGAAAATGATCCTTTCGAGTAGCAGCGTTCAGTTTATAGTAATCGATGCAAACTCTCCATCCAGTCATTATTCTTGTAGGAATCAACTAATTATTCTCGTTTTGCACCACTGTGATACCTCCCTTCTTAGGAACAACCTGCACTGCATTGATCCGTACACTATCTGATGTTGGGTAGATGATGCCTGCATCGAGCAACTTCAAAACCTCAGCCCTAACCACTTCCTTCATATGTGAATTCAATCTCCGCTGACCATCAATACTTGGCTTGAAATTTTCTTCCATGAGTATTTTGTGCATGCATGGCAACGGGCTGATCCCCTTGATATTCGTAATTGACCATCCAATGGCTGTTTTATTCTTCCTCGGCATTCGAAGTAGTCTTTCTTCCTCCACTTCACTGACAGTAATTGAAATAATAACCGGGAGTGTAGAAGACTCTCCCAAGTAAGCATATCGAATGTGTGGTGGCAATTGTTTGAGTTCCAACTTGGGAGGTTGCTGAATAGATGACACTCACTTCGTAGTCCTAGTTCCCAGTTCTTCAAAGTGATGCTTGCGCATGTATGGTAGATTAGTTTTCAAAAATCGTGCACATGTTTCAATCTCACTTGAATCAATGTGGGTAGATTGAGAATGTGCAATGCATGCCTCGTATGCATCGGAAGGATGATGTAACCGGAATGTATCTTGAATTATTCTGTCAATTACCTCAATCTGAAAACAGCTGTCTGACTCAATGGAAAATTTCATTGCCTTGAACACGTTGAAAGAGATCTGTTCTTCGCCAAGCCTCAATATAAGCTGCCATTTCTGAACATCGACAATAGCTCTTCCAGTAGTTAAGAAGGGTCGCCCCAATATAAGTAGAACATCCTTATCTTCCACCATATCTAAGATGAGCAATATAATTTTTTCTACTTTTACCAACACGTCTTCAATGATCCATCTTGGATGTGTAAAGGATCGATCTGCTAACTGTAGGGTGACTGTTGTGACTTTAGCTTCTCCCAAGCCGAGTTTCCTGAAAACAGAGAAAGGCATCAAATTAATACTTGCATCTAAATCACACAAAGTTTTATCAAAATGACAATTTTCAATAGTATAAGGTACAGTAAAACTCCCTGGATCCTTTAGTTTTGGAGGCAGCTTTTTCTAGATTCTGGCACTGCATTCCTTAGTTAGCATCACTATTTCATTTTCTTCTATCTTTTGCTTGTTAGAGAGGATATCCTTTAAGAATTTTGCATAACTCGACATCTGAACAAGTGCCTCAGCAAATGGGATGTTGATGTGTAGTTTCTTGAAGACTTCAAGAAATTTACTTTATTACTGATCCAATTTGTGCTTTTTCAACCTCTGTGGAAATGGAATAGGTGGCTCATGAGGGTCGATAAAATTGGTAGCTGTAACCCGCGATGTATTGGAACTCTTCTTGGCAACATCCTCTGTTGTTTGCTCAATCTGTTCCACAATCTCATCATCTAAGGTTGGCGCTAATTCCTTGCTAGCTACCGATCTTTTTACATGTATCTCCGGTAGTTGTACTCCACTTCTGGTTGTTATAGCCTTTGCGTGCTCCTTAGGATTGATTTCAGTGTTGTTAGGTAGGTTTCCTGGTGCTCTACCTATCATAGAGATTGTCATATGTCCCATTTGTGTCTCCAAATTTTTTATTGCGGCACTTTGATCTTGGAGAGTTGCGTCCGTCTTTCGCATAAACTGGTTGTTGGCCTCCATGTACTGATTAGTCGTCGCCATAAACTTCTCAAACATCTCTTCTAATGGTTGCTTTTTATCCTGCTGCTGAAATTGACCTTGTGGTCTGTTTTGATTCTGGCTACTCCATGAGAAGTTTGGGTGTTTTCTCCAACCCCGATTAAAGGTTTCCAAATGTGGATTGTTTTGTTGGCATTGACCCTATTGCACAAAATCTGCATGTTCGACCTCTTGCGTGAGAATTGGACAGTTGACAGTATTGTGGTCTGCTTCACATTCTTCACAGCTTGGCTTCTTGACTCGTTTTGCATTGACGGTCTGTGAAATGCTCTCAACATTATGGAACAAGGAGTCAATCTTTGCAGATAATGTTGAGTAAGTATCTACTTCATAAACCCCCGACATTCTCTTTTGAACTACTCGATCTGTAGATCACATGGCTGAAGTTGTAGCTATTCTCTCAAATAGTTCCCATGCTCCGTCAATTGTTCTCGTGGAGATTGACCCGTTGGATGATGAATCCACCATGCTCTTGAACGATGGAAGTAATTCAGTGTAGAAAAATCGGATTTGTGTCTTTTTATCAAAGTCATGCTGAGGACACTTCCTCAACATATTTTTGAAGCAATTCCAAGCCTCTTCAAATGATTCAAACTCTCCTTGGTTGAATATAGATATGTCATGCTGCATTTTTGCTACCTTAGCTGGTGAGAAGAACTTGGTGCAGTATTTGTGGGCTAACTCGTTCCAAGTGGTGATGCTTGCGACGGGAAGTGAGTCCAGCCATTCAAGTGCTTTATCCCGCAAAGTGTGTGGAAACAATCGCAGTCTTATAGCATCGTCTGAGATACCCTCGTACCTAAAGTGTTGGCACATGTCCAGAAATTGGGATATGTGTGTATTTGGATTCTCACTAGCCATCCCGTGATATTGATGCTCATTCTGAAATAGTTGGATTATATTTATTTTCAGCTAAAAGTTCGGTTACCCAAATGGAGGATACACAATACTAGATTGACTCTGGACCACCAACGGTGCCATGAAGTCCCCAAGTACCATATTCCCTTCATCTTCAACCCCTGCGCCTTCGTTGAGTTGAATTACCGGACGATTTTGCTCGTTAGCCATCTGTTGTGCCGCTCTTGCTTTTCTTTGCCTGTGACGAAATGTGCGTTCAATCTCTGGATCAATAGGAACCAAATCTCGATCAGGTGATCTTTGCATACAATCTCTGAGATAGCAAAATAACACAAAATTAAATTAAAGTAAACAATAAACTAAATCTAGTAAGCTAACCACTACTAATCTAGGTAAGTTCGAATTAGTGTCACAATAGATAAGATTAAACTAAATTTCAATCCCTGGCAACGGCGCCAAAAATTTGTTCACGAAATTATTTGTTTCGATTTACAACCCACCGCAAGTGTACGGTTCGTTAACAAGTAGTAAAATGAATTATGAGTCCAAGTATCGATCCCACAAGAATTGAATTAGTTCAAATCAATCTATTATGACCTTAACCGAAACACGAAAGTAAGATTTATATATTGTGATTTAACTAAGGAAGATATGAACTATGATGCAATTATGAGTGAGAAACTTATATTAAATACAAAATGACCTGGACGCAATCTACGAGAGTTTATGAAATTAATGAATTTACTAACGCATTAGGATCGCGAATTCCCAAGCAACGCCCGTTCAACTTTTAATTATGCAAATTTGACACACATTCCCACAATTGATGAATCAATATTCCTATTTTAATTTAGCAATCTCTCTCGAGCAATGCCAAACCTACCCCAATATGTGATTCGACTATATCTCTATGACGAATACTAACATACAAGAATTCATTATGATTTCATGAACATTCAACAATTCACACAAGGCATAGATGTATATTTCTATCCCCTATCGGATCCCATGATGATTTATACAATGTCGAACCTATTTTCTTTCTTTCGAATGCATAAAATAGGCCACCAAAATTATATAATTACGTGCACAATAATAATATGAAAATAAAAACGTATAAATCATTCAGTTCTGGAACATGTGTTTAAATATATCAAATCTCCAAATCAAAAATCAAAAGTAGTATTGCAAGGTTTATCGATCTCCTAGTAATGAAAAATCTAGCCTATCATACTAAAAAGAAGAAAATACAAAAATAGTTGAAGAAACGTCATCACCCAAATCAAGTTTCAATCAATTCTTCAATTGGCGCGATATTTTCCTCTCGTTCTCTCTTCGTTTTCTCCTTCAAAATCTCCCTTTTTCTTGTAAAAATGGCATCTTCTCCGTTCTGGACGTCTTTTGGTATTTATATCGTGCGAAAATTTTGTCACCAAAGAGTTTTAATCGTACAAGGAAAGTAAAATTTTCGCATCGGAAACCTACCATGCGACCGCATGGCTTTAATTCGTGCAGCCGCATGGTCATCCCATGTTGCGTCCGAAATTTCCTGCCTTCATTTGTGCGACCGCACGAGAGTTTTACCATGCGGCCGCATGGAAGATTCTAACTTTCATTTTCTCAAATTTGGTCCATCTACTTGAATCTTTCACTTCTTAATATCTTTTCTTCGTTCTTTCCATTCCATCATCCCAAGATATCATCAATTGGCATTTGGCTTAATCAATGTCTTTATTTGTTCATCGGATCAACTTTGGATAATTGCACCTTGGTCCCTGAACTTTCACTTTGCGTCATTTTAGTCCTTTTTTGCGTCTTTTTTTCCTGAATTTCACCATGTTCATTGGTGTTCCCTACAATTTACAAATGTAACGAGATTAAGTCACAATTCAATCATTTTGCTCGTAATTAAGTCATGTTTGTGACCTAAATAAGTTTACAAAAACACACTTATCACTAACCATGTAGTTATCTGTGACCGACTGTTTAAATGTGACCTTAGAATTTGATAACATGTGACCAATTAATTTGACCTCGAAATAATCTGTGGCCGATAAATCTTTTATCTGTGATCTCGAAATAATTTGTGACCTACAAATTTTTTTGATTTGTGACCTCAAAATAATTTGTAACAAATTAATTTGATAATATGTGACTAAAAAATAAATTTGTGACTTATAATTATGAATCTATGACAATTAATCGAGTAATTGTGACTTCCTTATATGCAGGCTCCGTTTGAGCCATATTAATAGAAGAATGAGATTGAAAAATATAGTCGTTACGAACATCACACAAGAAATAGATTTTCAAATATGATGGCTTGATGTGATAAATATCGGTCATATTTTTCATTTTATTAAGTAAATAATGGAAAACAAACAGTGGTTAATTAATAAATATTTTCAATTAATTATATAAATACTTGAATTTTAAATTTTTAAACTATGTACCTGATTTATGAATTGGTGTAAATACCCCTGAATCATGAATTTGTCTCTAATTCGAATTCGAAAGCCCTTTGATCATTTGAATAGGGACATAAATAGTGAACCCATGATTCGATTGTCCAATTTGCCCTTTTCCTTTAGGCCTTTTTTACCTTAGAAATGCTCCTAGGCTTTCAGTTTAGGCCCCAAATTCAGGCCCACATCCCAAGCAGAACCAATTCTTCACAATCTTCCCCCAAATAAATTCTTGAATTGCAGAAAGACCCCCAAAAAATCTTCAAATTTGGGTATTGTGCACTAATCAATCCGTTAACGATAAGGCAGCGACAGAACGAACACCAAAAAGCTAATCAAGAAATAGAATTAACAACTAGAAAAAGAAAGCCCAGAAAATGGCTTGCTGTTTATCAACAGGAACAACAATGGCGTTTTATAGAGGCAGTAATTTTAGTGGCCCATCAGCTTCACTTTCTCTCCTCACTGGTTCAAGAACAGGAGCCCTCAGATTGAAAGCGAAGGCCGTAAATTCTTCCGGGATGCTTCTTCACTGCTCCTTCACCCAGGCTTCTTCTTGCCTTTCTCTCTCTTCCAGTTCTTCATTTTCTGGTAATATTATAGTTTTGCCCACTTATTGAGTTTTGGTAATTTTAATTGTTAAATGTTTGTTTAGTAATTTTATGGAGAGAGAGTGGGTTATGCTTTAATTCATCATATTTAGCGATTTTGTTTTGTTTTTATAGTCCGTTTCTTTTATTGGGATATACAATTCAGAGGGATAATATTGTAGTCTTCTTCTTCGTTATAGTGAAAACTCGTGGCTTTACTAACTGATTGAATCATTATAGATTTGTGTGTTTGCATTGTATGTTTTATGTTTTTATACGGTTTTATTTCTTTCATAAGAAGGGATTACGGCTTAATTCAAAACACTTACTAGGAAGAGTTTATGAACGGTTTAAATCATAATAAATAGATAAAAATGAGTTTTCTGGTAGTACTCGTGAATCCTTCGAAATGTGTAGATAAAAAGTGGCTCGAGTGTTCATGAACAGTTGATAAACGGCTTGAGTGTTTATGGACAATTCATGAACATGCACCAAACAGACTTAATGCAATAGCATCCATTCTACTAGAAAAAACCTAACAAGTACTAAGAGACCTTACTTTTATTGTTTCCTACTATCCCTGCTATATCTATTGTTTACAGAACATGAAGATTTCACATATGATTTTAGTAATTTCAAGAAATAAAGATTGCTGTTTGTTGGCAATTTTTGTTTTCATCAGTAGAGATTATTATTTGTGATGCATTAATCGCAGGGTCATCATTGAATTTGGACTTGAATTCGAGCAGTGGAGCAAGAGTTAACAAAAGGCATGGCCTAGTAGTGAATGCGAAGAAATATGCTCTTTGTCAAACTAAGAGGAACAGGTCAAGGAAGTCACTTGCTCGGACACATGGCTTCAGGAAGCGTATGAGTACCACCAGTGGACGAGCAGTAATCCAGCGCCGACGTGCCAAGGGACGATGGGTCCTTTGCCCAAAAACCAACCATAGCAGCGGCAAACGTGTTTAATCCTTCATTGTTTTAGCTCGTGTGATTGATTTATATAGGTAATGCTATGGTCTGAGTACGTGCATTGTGTTGTCTCAGTTGTTTCTTTCGTTCTTCTTCTTTTTTCGAGGGTAATTTTATCATTTTGTTGAAAAAATTATTGGCAACTTATTTCCAAAAATTTCTCATATCTGCGTCATTGCATGCTGGGTTTATGATTACATGGATAATCTAGGATACAACGTTTATGTTCAGTACGAGAAGAAACTGTTCAGAATGTGGTTTTTCTTACGAGTCCGGATGCAATATTACATTGATGATTTGGTTCTGCACACAACTTTAGATACTATTACTATGTACACATCACTTGCACATAACATAAAAATACACAGTACTAGGAATAACTGAGGTCCTCGAGGAATTCACAGAAAAGACCAAATTCACAATTTACAACAATCTAAGCAGTTGGATAGGAAGCTTCCATTGCAATACCATATCGTCCTTCCTTAGCATCGATGCCCCTTTCCATTCTGATATACCCCTCTCCACCCCAACTTGTTCCCCATCAGTTCTGGACCAACCAATACTTCGTCCCGTACGCTACTGCTGTTACACCATGGTCTAAGTCAGTCCCACAATCCCCAGCAAAAACACCACTTACGTAGAACTCAAAAGCCAAACCACCATCATCAATAGCTACGGATACTGGCTGATTAGCTAGCTGCACATGAAGCTTCCTTCTGGTTGTTGCACGTGCCATCAGTTTCGTAGTAGGGGTAATTAGATTCAGTGGTGAGGCCATGGTTGTGTAATATGAATTTGAATGCATTATCCATTAATCCACCATTACATCCTTGATCTTCACCACTTACGTCGCAATCCACAAGTTCTAGTTCAGACAATAAAAATCAATTTGCCTGTTTTTGTTGGTTGACTCCTTCCATTGCTGCAACAGCATAAAATGCCCAGCAGCAGCCTCTTTCTCTCTCTCTCTTCTTTTTTCTTTTTTTCTTTTTTTTTTCCTTTTTTTTTTTTTTTTTTTTTTTTTTTTTTTTTAAAAATTTTTTTATAATT